TTATATCTACAGAAACAATAGCTAAACTCTGTTAGAATTATCATAGCTACAGAAATAATAGCTAAACTCTGTTAGAATTATTATATCTACAGAAACAATAGCTAAACTCTGTTACAACTATTATATCTTAGGATATTTAAATCAAATTTTTTCTCCACTTGAAATTAAGGGTAATTATTACAACTTTTGTTTCAATGAAACTTTCAAGAGTTATTTTGTTGAATGTCGTTTCTCTGTTAAATAATTGCTTGAAAAAAAATAATATGTGAATAATTTTTCATAGTTACAGAAACATGCATGTAACATCCCATAGTTACACTAACATGCATGTAACATCCCATAGTTACACTAACATGCATGTAACATCCCATAGTTTCAGTAACATGCATGTAACATTCCATAGTTACACTAACATGCATGTAACATCCCATAGTTTCAGTAACATGCATGTAACATCCCATAGTTACACTAACACGACTGTAACATCCCATAGTTTCAGTAATACGCATGTAACATTCCATAGTTACACTAACACGACTGTAACATCCCATTGTTTCAGTAACACGACTGTAACATCCCATAGTTTCAGTAACATGCATGTAAAATCCCATAGTTTCACTAACACGACTGTAACATCCCATAATTTCAGTAACACGCATGTAACATCTCATAGTTTCAGTAACATGCATTTGTAACATAATGCATGTAACATCCCATAGTTTCAGTTACATGAGAAATTGAGTTACAGTAATACATAGATAACATTTCATAGTTACAGCAACATGTGAAAATGAGAGGCAGAATTTTCTTTTTATGTACCACATGAAACTTATATAAAATGTACTGTATAAAAATGTTAAAAATCTTTCTCATTAGAAATGTTGTATATATATACTCCCACATCAATAAGTTATGGATCACTCTCTGCCGTAACCTGTCATATTTAATAGTAAGGTTTGATACTTGTAAGATACTAGTCCAGCGAAACAAAACTCAATCATCTAAACACTATCATTTATCTTCAAGGCAGTACCTTGTAGTTTCAGATATTGTGTTCATTTACAAAGTATTCTGTTTCAGTACTTTTGTTTTTATTATTGACATGTTTCAGTAACATACCGCTGATTATCAGACAGAACTTACTTCTTGTTAACACTTGATTTATGTATTTATGGTTTGTTGCACAAATTCAGAAGAAAAGTTTAACTATGTAATTTTCTGCTTCTATTGATATGAAAAACTTTTTTTCTAGACCTAACTATGAATATTTAATACAAATAGAAGAATGGAATTTTGACCAATTAATTATTAAAAGAAAGAAACATGAGGAAATATAGTTAAAGATTATTGATATATTCTGTATTTTTCACTAAAAACCTACTAAAGCTTTCTTTCAAGTTGCTTTCCCTTACAAGTATGATTAGCTTTAATGTAGCCATACACTTGTATTTGGGAAACAGTACTTTCCAATTTCAGCTGTTTCACCCACTCTAGAAATGTTTTGCATACAGATAGCTTGGATGAAAGATGGGGAGTTAGTGTCACCTTTGACAACACCTGGAGTGAACATCTTGCTTAATGGACGTCAGCTTCAGATCAATCGGACTAGAGTTTTTGATGCAGGCTCCTACAAGTGCATCGCATCTAATGTAGCTGGACGTGGGGAACAGGAATTTTCTGTGAATGTGTTAGGTCAGTAATTGTAAGCTATTATATGTAACGTAGCTGGACATGGGGAACAGGAGTTTAATGTAAACGTAAGGCTAGTACCTGTAAGCTGTTCTATCTAATGTAGCTGGATGTGGGGAACAGGAGTTTACTGTAAACATAAGGCTAGTACTTGTAAGCTGTTCTATCTAATGTAGCTGGACACGGGGAACAGGAGTTTACTGTGAACGTTAGGCCAGTACTTGTAAACTGTTCTGTCTAATGTAGCTGGACACAGGGAACAGGAGTTTACTGTAAACATTAGGCCAGTACTTGTAAGCTGTTCTATCTAATGTAGCTGGACACGGGGAACAGGAGTTTACTGTAAACATTAGGCCAGTACTTGTAAGCTGTTCTATCTAATGTAGCTGGACGTGGGGAACGGGAATTTTCTGTGAATGTGTTAGGTCAGTAATTGTAAGCTATTATATGTAACATAGCTGGACACGGGGAACAGTTATGCCAGTACTTGTAAGCTGTTCTATCTAATGTAGCTGGATGTGTGGTACAAGAATTTGCTGTAAATGTTCAAGGATATTCAAGAGATATTGTTGAGATATTATAGATATAAATTAGTAGTTTTCTCTTACAGTAAATTCAAGGGAAAGTTTTATTAACTCAAAATAGATATTTGAAAATTTCTATTAGAGTACAACATTCATATTCTCTGCTTCTTGTTCAATCGAGCTGGTTAAACACATCCATGGTAAAGACAATGTTTTCCAAGTCATACTTTATTTCCAGGTTATCTTCATTACAAACAAACTCACTCATTTTGTGTTAGAGCTACTTTCTTCATGTCACTGTCTGTATTGATACAACCTATAGTATTGAAATAATTAATATTAAATATTTAAGTGAAAAATCCAATAAGTAAAAAAAAATAAAACTCCTGGACTTGAACTCGGAACCTCTGGCTAACAAGGCCAGTTCTCTACCATTGACCTACCCAAGAGTACCAGCCATTCCCTGTTGAGGAGTTCAGTGGCAAAGTACTGGTCTTGTTAGGAAGAGGTCCTGGTTTGGGAGTCTGTTTTCATTTAAATATTTAATATTAACTATTAGGATAATATAATCTTACTGTTTCATGGTTTCCTCGAGGAATAATAAAACATGGTATTTGTTGTATGCTTCTAGTTCCTCCGAGTCTCGAGGGCCCAGAAACGGATTACAAAGAAGTGGTTATTTCTCAGCGTACGGTTTTAGAATGTCTTGTAACTGGTCTTCCAACCCCAAAGATCAGTTGGAAGAAAAACGGTACTATATTTGAACCTCCTCCCTACATGAACCCACAAAATCGCAGGGGTGATATTGTGTCGGATGTTCAACTTATGGACAGTGGGCAGCGTATCCTTATCAATCATGCCGGGAATGATGATGCTGGACAATATACTTGTGAAGCCAGGAATATTGCTGGAGAAGTCTCCAAAGACATTAATCTGGATGTTTTGGGTATGGGTTAATGTTGCCATTAATGTTTATTTACGTTAAAACGTTTTAAGCAGAAGTAATTATCTGTTGCGAACATAAACAAGTTTTATTTAAAAATGTATCAGAAATAAGCTAACATAAGATAAAATCATGTTTTATAGTAAATTGGTCACAGTAATGGTTTGGAAGTAATAAGTTAGTAAACTAATATCTTGATCAATGTTATTAAGTCATTTCTGTAAGAGTTAAAGATTATCTTGGCTCACTCACTAAGTAACCACACTTAATTATCTTGGTCAAGGGGTACTGGGTGACCATACTGAATCATTTTGTTTTCTTACTGAGTGACCACACTTAATTATCTTGGTCAAGGGGTACTGGGTGACCACACTGAATCATTTTGTAACAGGTCTGTGAAAACATTTTCTGTTCTCAGGAGCAGTGTGGTAATCAAATCTTACAAAACTGAAAGATTCAAAAATGTATTGCAGTGCTATTATTAGTTTATGTTACATTTTGTATAACTTTTCAGTCAGTTCTTAAGATAGTTCTTTGACCATTTCAAGAGTGTACAACAGTTGTTTATGTCTTCCAAGTTCCCCCTAGGATTCAGGCCCAGGAGACAGTTGAGAATGCCAAAGTTAAGGAAGGTAACAGCATTGTGCTCGAATGTGAAGCAAGTGGTCACCCAAATCCTGTCATAACCTGGATGAAGAATGGTCAGCTCCTGTCATCTTTATCCTCTCCAGACACAACCATTCTCCCAAATGGCTCCCTTCTTATTGATAAAGTTGCTGTAAGAGATGGAGGTCGATATACTTGTATGGCTGCTAACAAGGCTGGTTCTGCAGAGAAAGATGTAAACCTTAAAGTTTTGGGTTGGTTGCTTCAATTGTTGATTAATTTATTGTTACATTATAATGTGGGTTGCTAAAATGAGGGTTGTTGTCTTTGTGACAGAAACACGTGGGGTGATTTGAAATGTGGTTAAAAGTGGTGCTTTCACTGATAAACATGTAAAAAGTCAGTAACAGGGACAATGACTTTGTTTCTTTGAATATATTGGTTTCAAGCATATTTTACACCTAATTATTGGAAGTGTATATATATATATATATATATTCATATTTATTATTTGCTGTTTTGACGTTTTTGTTTGAAAACTTTTATAATGTAATAGTATAGTATTATCTTATTCATTTTTAAGACTTCTTATTTTGTGGTATAGTTTATAATCCATATTCTTTGCTTGGCTTTTGATATAAGTATTTTTTGAAATAAGAGCAAGACAGATATAGTTTTAAAAGCTGTAAAATAAGTATGTTCAATTTATGGCTTATAATTTTTAAGTTTTAGTTTAGCACTTGATAAAGAGGAATAGTGGATTATATTCTTTCACTGAATAATCATTTCTGCACTATCAAAATATATGCATATTTGGGCTTGATAAGATTAAAATCATATGTGGTGGATGTCAGTAACTGTATTTATGGGCTTAGGCATGCATTAACTGAATCTGTTGGCTGTAATAAGTTTGAAACTACATTTAAAGGTTTTATTAATTGAATTAGCTTAAATATATTTGAAACTTCACATAAATGATGTAGAGAAGGTTGAGTACATTATATTTAAACAGTTTTAGAGCATCACCTTGCTGTTACAAGTCCATGTGAGCACATTTGGTCATGCTCTGTTTGATGGCTGTACATTTTGATAGTAGCTCTCCAGCACAATTTCCATTACAAAAGGCTTTGTTGTAAGACTTTCATGTCCAAAAGACACAATGCTTCCCTTACTGCTTTCAATAATCCATCTAGTGTACTATCACAACAGTTTACCAGCACCCATTTCAACAGTTCTGTCACACAAAAATCCATAGGCACTGCATCTAGCAATTTGACCAGTATGTCTTCATATGAAATAGTATTAATACCCATTTAATTTTCTAGTTGAGGTATGGAACAGTTGAATTGGAGGTATAACTGGAAGCCATTTCATGGTGAATTTATACCATGTTGGCCTCATTTCTAGACAAGATACTATTGTCTGGTACATGCAAATGGCTTTTGCTGCTGACCTTTCTGTTTTTGGATTTTTAACTGTTACAAGATGCTGCACTTTGCTTATGAAGGATGGGGTCAAACTTGTTGCAAGTTTCTTTGTGGATAGTCTTGGTGCCCCATGTTGATCCATATTACTTTGTTTTTCAATGCATTTAATTATAGGGACCATACCTGTCATGGAAGCTCTCTAATCATTTAACACAACTTTATGATCTGAGTATTTTGCATTGGAAAGGACTAGTATGTACTCTTCCTAAAAGATATGAATTTTCAATGTCATCACAACTTAAGAAATGCCAAACAATGTCAAAATTTGGTTCTGATATACGACATTCCATCATGACTTTATATTGACTGTGGTTATCATTTGCTGATTTGCATATTCAAAAGTGTTTCAATATAAACATACTCAACCCTCTATTAACTGAATTGTTGACTTGAATAAGGATAAACCTTCATTTAACTCTTTCAGCACGGGCTCGGTCCCTGGGACCAATCTTGTAACCATTTTGTGCATGTTATAGTTTTCATTCTATAACTTTTAAATTAGTTAGTATATGTTCACAAAATTTGTCAGATTATCAGTAAACATTCCAAGGCTTTCATTCACAAAATATCAGTCTTAAGGTTTGTTAAGCAATGTTTTTCTCATGCCTTTTTTCATTTTGCATGTTGCCTATCCAACAGGCAAAGTAATTTCATTTTAAGGTTAAAAATACTTTTATGTATCAGAAAATTTTTCAAATTTCACATGTGAAAT